GCAGAAAAGCTCTCTGTTGTGTAATATGGATTTGTATTAAATGCAAAATAAAAAATTGAGGATAAAAATAAGTACGTTACGCGCATAACAATCATCTTCTTGCTGTTTATCTTTGCGCTAAGCTAACTATCAATCATTTGTTCAAGACACCCGAGGCTAGAAATTTTTGGTTGCATTTCATAATTTTTCATCTGCTGCTGTTTTTACTTTTTTTTATTTTTATTGATGCTTCTTTGATCCCAGACGGAGAAGTAAACAGCTACATTATGGACACAATACTTAAAAGATAAGTGGGAAGGAAAGAACAAGTTTTTCTGCATCAAAGCACATCGAAGGAAGATGGATTTTGTTTACTTTGACACAATAAATGTCAGTTTTTATGAGTGAACGAGCACATCAGCACTTTGCGAGTTCAACTCAAATGTTTTCAGAAAGGGCACGATCCCGTGGTGAGCACGGGTTTTGCTAATATGCTAACAGCTAATAGGGGAGCTAACTTTGCATTTAGCGAATTTGCAATTTTGCTAACTTTGGAAACAGTTTGCTACCGCTAAATTACGTTCTGCTAATTTTATGTCCGCTACCAAATTTACACGTTTGTTCTTGTCCGTTGAGGGCGTGTCTCGTACAGGCGACGCAAATGGTCGACGCAGCAGCAGCTAGCTGGACAACATTGCGTAACTCCGCAGTTTTTGCATTTACGACTTACGACGATTTGACCTTCAAATCAAATCAATAGAATCGAACTAGCATCAACACGTTTGCGTCAGTCCCACGGAAGAAGACAGACATTTGAGGCAGACTGAGCGATAGTCACCTTAGCTTTGCGGTTAGCAGTTAGCATTAGCTTCCACTATTTTCGTTTACTTGTAGCGGTACAGTGTTAGTACAGCTAATTCTTTAGTTAGTGGATTATGGGTTATTAAAGCAAACTTTCTGGTTAGCTGTACTCACCACTGCGCAATACAAGCAACTTGCACATTAATATTAAATATAATTCCGTAATGGATGTTCTGTATGGAAGAAGGTTAGTGACAAGTTTTACATTTTTTATTTTTTAATTCTAACGTTAATCTCCAAATACCAAGATTTAATTCGGACTTTAATCAGAATTCAGTTAAAAATGCTGAAATCTGAAAAAAAAAAAAAAATTGGCACTTGTCATCTTCCGTACAGTCCTTGAAGGTCAATCAAACAGGACACGAAGTTTCTCTCCGCATTGTGACCCTCTTCTAATATTTGGCTTTTTTTTTTTTTAATGAGTGGTTCAGCCTCTGAGGGGAACAAGGAGAGTTATTGATTGTTTTCCCAAGGTTTTATGGGAGACGGGAAGAGTTATGGCAGTCGGGTCGGCCCTCTGCCAAGAAAACAGATCTGGGCATCGTCAGCAATCTGTGCCGCCGCTCCATAAACAAAGAGAGCTGGTTGTCATTTTATTTTTTTAAAGCAAAAAAAACACAGCACTTTCACTCCCCCAAACACAACACACGCAGAATTGAGAAATAATACCATAAATGTGGTTTTATTATTAATAACAGTATCTCTTTTAATGAACATTGCAGATACATAATAGAAAATAAATCAGAAAACTGAGACGTTCGTCTCAAGAGTCGTGAAAGTGCCTGGAATAATTCTGTGCTATATATTGTCGTTAATATTCATCAACACCTTTCTAATCAAAGCCACACCATCAGAAATGTTTAGCATTAAAACAAAAAGTTATCAACCTGCTAAGAAAAATTCAAACCTTTGTCATCGCACAGCTTCCGTAAGCGGTCAGTCGAAGCTCTTGGGAAAACTGACCGTCGGTTTCGTGAATATGGCTCGATTGTCTTCATCTTAATTACGATACCGTTTATTTACACGTTTACCACATTAGAGCACAGCTGACCCTTCTGTTGAATCTTTTTCTTTGCCTCGGAGTGAAGGGAAAGTGTGGCTTGAGTGAATGAAAACAGTGTGGCAGCTCACACTTTGAAACAAACAATCATTTCAAAATAAAACGTCACCAGAAAATAAAAGGCAAAATGTGACGGGTTCGAGCAGCGAGAAACGAACTCCATTTTTCGTTTATTGTGTACAAGTTTACCACTTTGCATATTCGATGGCACTAACGGAAACATTTCAGACGCTGCAGGTACTTTAGTTCGAAGTTAGTCTCTCAAAATAAATAAATAAAATAAAATATATGGCGCAACTGCAGGAGGAGTAACAATCGGCTGCCATCACAGATCTGAGCAGATGTGTGGAAATAGCTCTTTATAACATGATACTGATCTGCATGAGAATGTTGTTTTTCTGGATGAGTAATGTGGATGTACGGAAGAAGGTTACGGCCACAATAATAATAATAAAAAAAAAAAAGGTATTTCTCTCATAAATCTGAGAAAAAAGTTAGAATTCTGACTTTTATCTTGAAATTCTGACTTTTCCGCCCCCTCTAAATTATATTTTTATCTCAAAAGTCTGGGGAAAAAAACGGTAAAATTCTTAAAAAAAAAAAAAACAAACACTGTGGCGCTCATCATCTTCACCTTGCTTTGGTCTGGGGGGAAAAAAAAAGTTGTATTTACTTAAACATTTGCATGTTTTTAATACATTTTAGTAAAAATTAAAATCATTATTCAAACTTTTCTGTCCAGGCCTCCATTTTTATCTATCCAACCAGTGAAATATATTTATAATCATCATTAACATTTTGTATAACATAGATCCATTAATAGAAGTTAAAAGCAACAGTTAAGACCTTTTTGCAGTCGGGTTCTGTGGGTGGGTTATAAACATTTTACCTGTTGCAGACAGGCAAATGGCTAGTTTGAGCTGGATTGCTGCCAAAAGTCAAATATTTCACAGCAGCTCGTGCAAATGCTTTTTGAAATAAAAATTAAAACAAGCAAATTTCACAAATTTGCAGTTATTCCAGACAGAAATATTATTGTAATGGCAAAGGGCTAGCTTGCAAATAACCGCTACACAAAGTGAACCGCGTTGTAAAAATATGATAAAATAGTGCTTGTGTCAGCGACTAATTATTTTCAAACTGGAGTTTTGTTTTGGGTTTTAAAGGCAGACGTCCACTTTGGCCTCGCTCAGACTAGAGTTGCATTCGGGCCCAAAAAATCCGATCCGACCACAGCCCGTAGCCATCATTTCCGAACCCCACCCGACCTGACGAATTAACAGTAATTACAGCAGTAATTACATCGGAACTCCCCCCGCCCCCGACATTTTTAATTAAGCTTTAACTGTCAGCGGACGCATGTGGCTCAATAAAGGGGGGCAGAAGATCGGAGCTGAGGGGGTGTTTGTCCTTTCATGGCCGTCAAAGCATTAACTCCCTGCTTCTGCCTGCATTCTGCATTATTCAGACACGGACCATGCTCTGACATGCCGGATATTTTGGGATTTCACCCGTTTGGCTCGTCGGCTGAGTGCAGCGGCTGAATGAACGTCCATTTAGACTTTGATGGATCGTTGCCTGGCAGTAGTCCCATCTGAAGCATAACTGATTTAAAAAAAAATTTAACCTCTTTCACGGCCAGTCAGCGCACGGTCAAATGGCCGCATGCGGCTGATGAATGTATGGCAAGACATGTTGCCATATAACTGGATCATCGGTTGCGCCCGTCCGCTGACTCAATCGAAAACCCAACACCGGCCCGCTCATCTAGCACATTATTATGGCCCGGCCCGGCCCAACGTCAGGTCGGGCCTGGGTTAGAAATGGCAGCTCTAGCTCAGACTAGCCATTAGCTCATCCGTGTGGGCTAAAACACGAGTGGTTCATAACTCTTCCACAGAACTTCACATCAAAATTAAACGTTTTAAAAAGAGACATTTTACAGAAAAGAGGTGAAATTTGAGAAGTAGGAAGAGGATTGATGCTAACGGAGTAACCGGGACTCCTTAATGGCAATCCCAGCGTTGGAATCCTTCGTCTTCGTATCTTAGCCGAAGCGTCGCCTGCCTGAAAGTTTTGCGGAGAAACATACTTATCTCAGACGAATCACTTCAAGAGAGAGATGAAAAACTAATGGCAGAGGAAAATGGAGGACAGACAGCGATTTAGCCCTGGACAGCCTTGTTTGGTCCTACGCAGGAAACCCGGTCACGGTAAACGCTCGGTTGCGGTGGCAGCTTTCGCGCTGACATCTTGGATAGCTTCATCCCTGTTAAAGTGGCTGAAATGACAGTGAGGTCGACGAGCACAGGAAAAAGTCTAGGAGCGTTCGAAACGTCATGAAAACAGAAAAACGATTATTTTTTGTGATTTTTCAAACAACCAAAAAAAAAAAAAGAACCTCTCAACTCCTGATTTCCTTTTATAAACTTCATAACATCTCTAATTAAATATCCCCGTTACAAAAATATACTTTTCTTATTTTTTCCAGAAAATAATACACATAATTACTTTTATTAGTGATATAATCATCTGTTTATGCTGTTTAAAAGTAAACGAACAAAGATGTGAAGCCTAGCACCGTGTTCTTCTATTTCCCGAAAGCATTGGGGGGGGGGGGGGGGGGGCGTCCTGTCGCCTGACTTTTTTTTATTTTTATTTTGCATAATCCGGTTGAGTTTAAACCCTCAACCTCTAACATCTCACCCCTTTTTCCTGAGGGCTGTGACTAGAAACGTTCTCATCTCCTCAAATAAAACAAAACTAAACAAAAACTCACCAAAAGTCGTTTTTGTTTTTTAAACACCAGCCAACAAATTAGAATAAAGGTAACAACGGTTTTACCGACAAATCTTTACAGGCCTCACTTTAGTACAAACAGAAACAAACAAAAAAAAAAAAGAATTAAAAACAATTCCCAACCGATGAGAGAGGAAAAAAAAAACCTTTGCTACGAAGAATTAGAAAAAAACATATGTACAAAACCCTGTGTTCCTTTGACGTTCTGGGTAAATGATAAGTGTTGGCTTGTGTTACGTGAGTGTTCGTACAGGCATATAAAAATGTCCACTTATTATTTATTATCTTTTTCAATCGTTCGGTTTTAATAAAAGCTTGTATTGGAACAGAAAAACTTTTTTTAACGAGCTCCTCTCCCAGATCAGGTGCGTCCGTTCTTCCCCTGTTGTTTCCTCGTGCAAATTGAACAGCAGAAAGTTCCTTAGTGCCAACCGTCCACTCGGCTCCGGTGCATTCAGGGTCCGAGTCTTCCCCGTGATGGACGCCGCTCCGAGCCACTGTCCACCCTGCCCGGCGTCGCCTTTGTCACCAGATGACGCTGGAGATGCTGGTTTCCCTGGGCAGCAGCGGCAACATGGCGTTGTTGCCGTGGGCTTCCTCCAGGCTCTGCTGGCGCGGCGACTTGGCCTGCTGCCGCTGCCCGTTGATGAGCGTCATGGGGATGTTGCAGTAGGTGTGCTGGTTGCCCAGAGAGGAGAGCGGCGGCAGCGTGCCGCCGGGTGGCAGGTCGTAGTCATAGCTACGGTAATAGTGTTTCTGCCTCATCTGGGTGTGGCAAGAGTTGTGAAAGGTCGAGCGCAAGTCCGGGTGCGCCGTCGCCATGGCGGTGGAGGTGGCCGCGGCCATGGAGATGGCGGAGACAGTCTGGAGCTCGCCGAAGGGGCCCTGCTCACTGACGTCCAGCACCTGCTCGTGGGAGATGCTCAGGGGCTCCATGCGCTTGAAGGGCATCTCGTAGAGCAGCTGCTTCCAGAACTTGGAGTTGAGCTTGTTGCTGGACGTCCCGCGCCACTTGATGACCGTCAGCGTTTTGATGGTGTGTTTGAGGGCCTCCACCTCCTGGTAGTTCATGATGCCGCGCAGCTCGGCGCACTCGATCAGGATGACTTTGATCTCGCCGGTCACCAGCATGTTGCGCAGCCGCGTCTCCAGCTCAAAGATGCTCCACCCCCTCCGCACCACGTAGCTGGGCGTCATGACGATGATGAGGCGCTTGCTCTGGTCCACGCAGCGAGCCACGTCCTCGATGTAGGCTGGATTTGTCGAGACAGAAAAACAAGTTTGTCGGATAAACGGCAAGGACAAGCAGACTTGAATCATTTTTGCTTCCTGTAAATTTATTCTCACATTAAACTTGTAATGAAAGATGAAAATACGTGAAAACACACGACTCTCTTGGCCTCGTAGCAACTTCTTATCTCACCCTTATCAAAGTTTGAAACAAACAAGTCCAATTGAAATAAGATAATAAAACTAACACACTGTTCTGACTTAGGCAAACAGCTACAACCCTCTGCAGTAACTAAAGCGCCTCTTACGAGACATTGCCTATACGGCTGTCTAGAAATTCTATGGCATTCTATAGCAAGCAAAGACCTTGTATAACTTTTTCCAATGATTTGCGACCTTTACCCAGGCACTATCTAGTGATGATGCATGCGTGTATCCAATTTCATTAAATTATCTTGAGTGGATCGGAAGTTATGGGCGGGACAAGAGAACGTTTATGTCCGTCCGTACGTATGTTCCCCCTTTGACGGGCAAATAAATAGTCTTGAATTGAAGCAGAGTGAGACATCTTAACTTCCTGTCGATCTGTAGGTGTATTAAGTGTGAGTTTACTTCACGGTTATACTTCAGACTCAAATGAGTGACTCAGATCATTGCGCAGGATGTGATTGTCTCTCTAAGCCTGCAGCTCAAGCCTGATTGTAGCCTTCCTTGGCTGTGACGCAACCTTGAGTCAACAGCAGGTAGATGGGATTAACTGGGCTTCCCCTCCTGACCAAGATTTACGAGTACCATGCTGAGGTGTCCGCCGGTCTCTGCTCTGCATATGTCAGAAAACGGACTGCTTCTTTCCTGTCAAGCTCAGCTCAAGGCTGCAGAATGAGAGTAACCCTGGATAAAAGTCGCCCATTACTTTGGCGTGATAAGTTGGTCTTGTTGCCGTTTGGTAATTGGTCATCATGCTGGAATTTATTGAAACCTGAGGCTAAAACTGGACTTCAAGGTTTCACCCTCATCAGTGAAGGGATTTCCTTTTTTAGTGTATTAAGGATAAAACAAGCGGTATGCCAATGACCCCCGTCTTTGAGGGATTTGAATAGTGAATGTTTGTAGTTTTAAAAACAAAGCGTCTATCTGGACTGGAATTGAACAGGGAATGCAAGTAAACCATAATGTTTTGGAGAAAGATATTAAAGTGGGTAGGAGTTACAATTTTTAGAAAAACAGAGGGAGGTTTAGTTATTTTTTGCTTGTCAGAGGCAGTGCAGAGTAACAAGTCTTGGCAAGAGGAGCAATTTTATCCACCACCAGTTGTGATGATGGAGTATAGATGATTCTTCAGCCACCCCAAACATTTGAGGAAACTATACTTTTAAGCAATATAAAAACAAGAAAGCATAGTTTCTTAAAATGATAAGGGTGGCCGGTTTACATATTCCAGTATATGGTGGTGGCCATCCTGGATTTTGACTTGGCAACCCAGATTTTGAAGGGTATTTCTTACGCATTAATAAAACCACACACCAAAAAGAAAGTTAGCCTGTTGATTATTTTTTACGTTATCTAGCTCACAAAGTTTAAATATGTATGTCTGTATGTATTGGCAGCCATGTTAAATTTGGATGTTGCATCCTAATTTTCATTTACTTTTCTTACGATAGGATGCAGCCACACAACAAACTTAAGTCAACATGGTGCTTATTTTTGGTTATTCACTATATAAGGTTTACATATATAGGTTCATGGTGGCAGCCATGTTGGATTGTGATGTGGCAACCAGGTTCATGGTGGCAACCATG